TGTTGATGAGCGAAAGTACATCGTTTTCAATATCTGCATCGGATAAGTCGGAAGCCTGTAATAGTGCGAACAATATTTAGAAATTAAGTGTTTCCAACTCAATACAAAAGATTCTAAGTAATTCTGTCTGGATTCTGTTATAAATAGTGTAGTACCAAACAAAATTTCTATATAACTGCTTACGAACAATGTATGGGTTTACTTACATCAGCTTCCAACTTAAGTTCTTTTGGATAGTCATTTTCGAAATAATCGCGTATAATTCCTTTAAGTTGATTTGAGCGATCCGGGGCATAATTCGCACTAGTGCATGGTATATAAGTATTGTAGGCGACCGATGAAAGACCCTGAAAAACATACTGCAGCTGTATAAGTTGTGTTCTTTCTTGCTCGACGGTGCGATTATATAGGGTGTCAAGTGCATTATCTATTTCCTCAGGTATAAAATCTCCTGGGGCTTTTAGACGAAAGCCGATATCATAAAAGTTCACGTTAATGGGTGAGCGGCGTGGATATCCATCGACTGAAAAATAAAGCATGCGTTCAAATACATACAAAACCATTAGACATTGATATATCCCATCTAAAATTTTAGTTTCAAATAAAAAAAGTGATAAATAAATTAAGATGGAAAATACTTAGGAACTATTTTAAGGTTTTTCTAAATCTCCGCGAAATAAGGCCTAAACGTGAGTATCAAAAACGACTTTGCTAGAGCTCCTCACAATTTTTTACAGTGGGCTAAAATGTCCATTTTTTGACCGCAAAAGTTATTTTAAATATAGTTTTATGAATAAACTGACTTCCAACCACAGCTCGAAGATAGCTATTAACAAATTGAAATGTTCAGAACTTACCTTAAAAACTTTTGCACTGCAATAAAACTTATTTAATGCCTGTTAAGTTTCTAGCCATTTTAGAAGCCATTGAAACAAAAAAATTCAAAAAATGTATACCAATTTTTGTATATAATTATTTAGTATTTTGTACACATCGTCGCCTGGGTAAAAGATTGTCGTAAGCGCGATTTTGACGATTTTTAGTTCTAGATGCAGTTATATATTTTGAAATAAGGTCTTTCGATTGGTGTTATCAGTTTTTAGATATCTCCTCTAGTTTCCGAGATATTGACTACAATTTTTTCGATAATTTAGTAAAAATTTAGTTAGTTATGCAGTTATATTAAACAAATCAATATCTTAAAAATGGCTCTCACCATTTTTGGATATCTCTTTTAGTTTCCGAGGTATTGAGTTAAAAGTGTCGTTAATTTAGTAGAAATTTCGATCACATTTTGTCGTATTTCATAAAAAGTGGCTGCCAAATTGTGGACAAATGACGCTTTCGACAAAATTTTACTAAAGAAACTCATTCATAAACTCAAAACTAATTAACAATAAACATTAAAAAGTAGATAATTTAAGAATTTTGTGAACTAAGGAGTAACATTTTCAGAGACTTGGGAGAAAATCTACCTTCGCGTTTCTGAGAAATTGCATTCCAAACTTCAATTGCGATTTCCCACAACCTGCCGAAATTAACATGCGACAATCGTTTACCCAGGCGACGACATGCAAACAAATTGTGGGTCAATTTGGCCCACGAGCATATGTGAGAAGGCACAACTGCATGTTAGGTCAGTGCTTGACTTTTTGTGTCCTAAGTTCATTTGAACTGATGTGATTGTGATCAGCAGCTTTTCTTACTTGCAAGTTTCCGCTGGTAAACGTTTTTCCAGCGGAAATTTGCAGCTCTCTATCACGTTTTGCTATCTCAATTTCCCCTACTTTGCAAGTTTTTGGGTACGAGAACGCAAAACCAGTAAACGTTTTCTAAAACTTATTTGCCCTCAAAATCGTATGTAGGCAACAATATCATCAGCTGTTTGCTACAAAACAAAATGTGCGGAACTGAACGGTGAACTGTACTTCAGCACCCTCTCCGGCAAAAATGTTTTGGGACTTTAAACTTAAAAAAACTGTTTTTCGGAAAAGTTAAGTAGAAATGACAGTTGGAGGATTGAAATGTTCTAGCTGTCATTTTCTATTTTACGTGAAATTTCTTCGAAGTAGCGGTCAACCCATTATCCCTGCAAACATTAGGAGTGTCCTCGTACGCAAAACTATCAAGAGTTCTAGAAAACTTTTACTGGTTTAGGGTTCTCGTACCCAAAAAACTTGCAAAGTAGGGGAAATTGAGAGAGAAAAATGTGATAGAGCTGCAAATTTCTGCTAGAAAAATTTTTCCCAGCGAAAACTGGCAAGTAAGAAAATCAGCTGATCACAATCACATCAGTTCAAATGAACTTAGCACACAAAAAGTCAAGCAAGTGGCAAATTTTATTATTAATACTAGTATACAAGGAAAAAGATAGTAAAGTTATTAAGCACAAGGTTTGTTGAGTTTATTTTTAGTTAATTTACTATTAATCTCCAGGTTGTTTTATTCATTAAAAAGGTATTTCGATTCCAAAAGTATGCAATTGTATAAAATGTAAAATCGAGGAAAATGTACCAAGCAGAAAATAGTTGCGTTCGACAACACAAAAATTTGTAATAGGGTTTCCAAATTTTTACTGGGTGGCATTCGATAACGACAAAAAACTATCCAGTACACAAAAATTGAGAGAGCAAGCGTTCATTTTGATGCAAGAGAAGCATTCATTTTGTACTGGCAAAATTTTAAACAGCAAAAATTATCCATGACGAAAACATATGGTTGCAATTTTTGTAAATAAACAAAATTGAATTTTTCGAGTTTTGGTATTTATATGCTTTTTAGCTGCCTGCTATGTGACTTTATGATAGTGCTAACTAGTTTTTACTTCTAGAAATGTTCCTTTCCTTTTTCCTTCCATGGAGGCAACATGAATTTCAGTTTTTTTTTACAAATAAAACATAAACAAAGTCAGCTGGTGTGTCTTCTTCCTTCCCGTTTTTGCAAGTGATGGCTAATTTCCTGTTCGTTTACTTGTTTGCTTTTTCTTCTCTTTGGGAGAGAAATTTCGCTTACGCTCTTGATTTTGACTGTTGGCTGGTGTTGGCTAATTTTGTTATCGAACACAACTAATAAATTGCCAAATGACCCACCAATGGCAACTGTGGAAGTGATCAGCTGATTCGGAAGCTGCAAGTATTTGCAAATTTTGCGTTCTCGTACTTCTGTGGATTTTTTGTCTCTTTGAGAGCGAATACTGCTAAATTCTCAGAATTTTGTCTGCTGGATAATTTTGTCCTCTCAATACGAGTACACACCTATTGACGTTAGTTATAGATTAGAGAATGAATGGAGAACTAGCCACATTCTCCAATCTCAAACGTTAGAGAACGACTCGAAAAGCTATCGAGAATCCCAGCGATCTCAACAAAAATGGGTCATAGTTCTCGACTGGAGAAAATATTAATTCTCTAATCGAATTCTAATATTCATCTTTAATGGGATTCGAATGTGAATTTCGAACTGCTGTTTTGCTTTATTAAAAATAATCAGCCTCATTGCGAGAGTCGTGCCGAATGCAAGTCGTTTTTCGAGAGTCGAATCGTATCGAAAATTTAGCGTCATTGCCTAAAATTTCCACTCGACTAATGTATTAAAACGGAAGAACTTGGCAGTACTGCATAGTTTTCGACAATTTTCGTCGTTTACTTATTTCAGCACGACAGTAGACAATGCTAATGTTGTCGAGTCGTACAATTCAGCCTAATTTACGACTTACGCAATGAGGCTGTATGTCTTGTTTGTAAAATTTGTATGAAACGAATTTGCAATAAAATAATAATGAACTGTTTAAACTTAAACATCATTTATGATTCATTCATTTGGAACATTTATTTAAATTTGGATTGTTTCGCTAATCGTTCTCGAATTGAGTTCCAATGTAGTTCTCTAACTTCGTCATTCGACTCGAGAACGATTAGAGAATTACCCTAGTTATCTAATGTAGAAATCCAAATTACTCTAACGTTAGAGACTGTATTTGCTGGGATGATGGTAGGAGTCAATGCGTTAAAATGTTCTACAAAAAAATTGCACGCAAAATTTTACTAAAGTCCTCTGAAGACAAGATTTACATATGGGTGTTTCCATCGGAATGTCTACCGCGGCAAAAAAAAAAAAATAAATCACATATCTAATGTATTTACGGGCCAATTTGTCTGCTTTTTTAAATATATACTTGATATGTAAGTAGAATTTTTTTTTAATAGGAAACCGTATTTATGGCCCGATTTGGTTCGAGTTTGCCGTATGTAGTTGAACATAATAAATCATAGATTTCCAAAAAATTTACCCTGAATTGGCGTTGAAGTCATAATATAAAGTATATTTGACATAAAATGCATGTTTTATTTGCGTTAAAAATTCATTTAAAAGCAATATTAACAAAAATATAACGATGGAAATTTATGTCACGCCACGTGACGTTTCACACTTGGGGTAAAAGAAAATTGAAACAACTTGCATTAATTCAAAAAAGTCTTAAAACACCTAGAATTACTCCAAATAATATTAAAACAAGTTTCATGAAAAAAGCCATCCACAATTCGCACAGCTTTGCGGTATTAAGAACCATGCGGTTCGATTGTTTTAATTTTTCGGCTAAATGTAGAGCTCATTATGTGCTACACAAGGGTCTAAAAAAATAAAAAAAAATAAATGTTTTTCCTTGCTTGTATCTCTTTGAACCGTACGACTGTCACGTATGTGACGTATGGAAATACTCATATATCAGAAGCAGGTGTGGTTAAGTGGTTAGAAGTGCGTGCTAAGACTCCGTAGGACCTGGATTCGATCCCTGGTCCGGGCAACATCTAAATTAAAAAACGTTTTTTCTAACAGCGATCGCCCTTCAACAGTAAATGGCAAGCCTCCACTTGCCGTTCGAAGGGGGCGTAAAACTTGCGAGTGCCTCCATTTGCGTAAGAACATCAAGACGCATACCACAAATTGGAGGAGAAGCTCGGCCAAGTCACGAAAAGGAATTTTTTGATGAGACTTAATAAGAATATTAACTTGCTAGTATCGGAACTATTTGTTGCACGTTTATTTGCCAAAAGTTCTTTAACGGCTAAGCGTCAGTAATTCGAAATTGTATGCTGCGAATGACGATTTACACTAAAGCAAAAATCGACATAAGCTACTTTTCCATACGAATACAGATTTAACAAAAAATAAAAATAAAAATTTTTGTTTTTAGTGTCGCTGAAACCGAGTATGGGGGTCCCTTGGTTCCTCAAGGTCATCTAGAGGTCGTGCCAAGGTCATCCCAGGTCAAATTCAGATGAAACTTATTGAATTTTCAGGTTTATTCAATGAATTTTTCCCTACTTGACCTTCAAATAACCACGAACCTGACGTGATGGAGGCCAACGGACCTCAGCTTTTCATTCAGCGTGTCGAATAACATAGGGATATATATGTAGGTTTGGTTTAATATGCATACACTTTTTTTTGTAAACCTGTGTTATTAATTGAAAAAAGAATCGGTAAAGTAAGGAATGTGTGAAATTTATATGTACATATACA